TTGGTGCATAGTGAAACATGAAACATAGTCCCAGAGCCATTGAGTGTCACTCAGCCCTGAGATGCAGATGAGCGATGAAGGTCTAATCAGTTGCCAAGGAAATACAATTAATTAAGCAGTGTAAGAGAATTAGAACCTATGCATTTGCTCAGTCTAGCATTTTAAAGAAGGTAGCCAGTAGCTCACACCTGTACTTCGTCTTCAGTGGCAATTTGTCAGAATGGAAAGTTCATGCTTCCCCACTCTCAGTAGGCATGACCCCAGATTTTACACAAAGGATATAGCAACCATCCATGAAAATCCTGATTCTCCTGAAAGTTACCCTGTAAGACTTGCTAGGAGAGAGTTTATATTCTACTTACTTTTTCCAAATGGGAGGCAGTCTAGGAAGTGCTTGGTACTCTCGGAACTTCAGGAATGAGGTCCTGAGTACTTGGTCTGACAATATGATATCCAGGAATCCAGCATCTTCAGTTTTGTACATGTAGAAAGTGTGTTTACAAAGAAGAATCCACAACTGCATGCTGGAATGATGAGAAAATGTATTACAGAGGACACTACATAAATCGATTTCACAGTCAAACTGCAATTTTTAGAGTGAAGATCCCATCCTGCGTTGGCCTCTGGCCAACACAGCAGGTTGCATCCTTAAAGAGATTCACTGAGCAGAGGAAAGACTAAACAGCATAATTCATGGGCTGGAAACTCATCCACAGACAGAAACCATAGTGGAAATGAAAGAAAAAGACCCCAAAAGCTGACTGCAGGATATCAGCTTTTTGCAGAGAGCCTGACATTCCAGATAGTACATCTGAAAAGAACAGAGGCTAAACAGCCAGCAAATGTTACACCACATTCCCCAGAGCTCCTCTCTGTCTGAAAACCTATCTCAGCTTGAGAGAGCCTGGTGCAGCTGTTGGAACCTCAACTTCCCTGCAGCAGTCAAGGCTTCTCACCACCTCATTGTATTCTTTCCATTAGTTCTATGTTTCAAATGCCAAGGCCAAGCCTAGCACAGCAGGTGGAGCCTGCAGTCTGTGGCTTATACTAAGGTGACATACAAGCCTACCTTCAGCTCTGTCTTGAACACCATCCTGCCAGGAAATAGTCCACACGTAATCCAGCCACATACGGTATAACTGACAAAGAGAAAGACAGCACCAAAATACTCTCCTTGACAAACGCTAAAGAAAGTCCTCGATCTTGGCCCATTTTCCTCACAGGCAGAATTGACAACAATTCTAATTACAGTTAAGAGTTACAAAATGTTACTCTCAACATTGCAAAAGCTCACAGAAATATGATTGTCCCTATTCAATTTGTGCCTTTAAATCAAATTCTCCTGATCACTTTATTGGCATAAACACACCTTAGTCACTTCTAGTTTTAGTCTGTTTCAGTAACAATATGATTCAATCCCTACTTTGAAGATAATAAAAAGCCTTCGAGAGTCAGCAGAACTTTACCCACTAGAAAATACTCAAAGAACCATTGTCATCAATGCCTGTTATGACATTTAATGATTTCACTAATTGACACTAATTTTATGTATGTTTCAGAGAGTATTCATAAGTTGAAGTACCCTCCTCTCCCCACCTCCAATTTTTAAATTAGAAACCCAAAGCCCCCAATACCCTGAAATGTGAGCTCACTTTAGTTGTGTGAAGGCGAAGGCCATAATGACCTCAAACCCAGCCATGTGCAGATGTAGACGCTGTGTGAAGCTCACACAGAAATCCTGAGTGATGTAGTTTCCAGACCAAGAACACCAAGATCTATGGCCATGGCCAGAAGCTGCAAAGTTCTTCTCTGCCTGATGCCACACAAAAGTCAAAGAAGTCACACTTCCTTCCCATGACACTTGGGGAACGCAGGCCCTAAGACCACTGACTGGAAGGTTGCTCATGAAGAATCTGATTTCCTCTCAGTTTCTGGCGCCTATTGCAGTTTTCAGGAACAGTTGTATCTCTTGCCTTGTCAAATCTTGATGCCTCATGTTTAGTCCGAAACCTAACTCCCAGTTACTGCTTCTCACCTCTGTACAGTGTTACCTTTCTCTCCTGCATTCACAAGATACCCACCAGCTTTACCACTGGGTTTAGTGGTGTATTTCCCATTTCCATTCTCACTTACTTCATCACCTCATAGACTATAAGCCATTTAAGTGTGTTTTAGTCTACATATTATTCCAAGGCTTCTTGCCTCTGAAAGAGTAATTGCATATATGAACATGTAGTCACCTAATAAATGTGGCTTAAGTTGGCAGTACAAGCAAATAACTATACTACAGAGAGAAAAGAAAATTCACAGAGATTGTGGCAGATGGTCAATGTCCTGCAGACACACTCATAAGATCCTGGACTCCCACAAAAGATGGTTGACTTTGTTTGGCTCTCTTTCCCCTTGCTATGTCACTTAAAAGCAAATTTCTCATACTCACTTCTCTTCACTTCCAGGGTAAAGACATTTCATCATCTAGCTGAACAAAGCACGTTGACAAGCGCGAAACACAAAAATCCTGCAAAGAGAGGCAAATGCATTCATTATGTTTCCTTAGAAGTGATCCAGAGGATTGGTCAATTTATTAAACTTGAAGGTTCAGGAATATTTTTAATTTATGTCAGTCAATAATTAAATAGTGAGGAAGTAAAACGGTGAAGGAAGCTGACCCCAGGAACAGATGCTGTGAATCAAATCTCTTGTTTCATATTTTAAATTACCCAATGAGTTTATTCCCACTGTGCAACTTGGAAGTTCCTCCAAGGTACTATCCCACTCATCTATATGTCTAACTTGATTGTTCATCCTTCATATTACACCACGAACACACACTTCCAATGCGGACAGCAGGGGCAAGTAGGCAAAATAAGACTAAAATAAAGATCTAAGTTGTGACACTAGGAAAGGGAAGAAAACTGATGAGGTGCAGTCTTCATGCCCATCGCAAGACTAAAGGGTATTATGTAATTGCCAAGAAGACAGATAAAATAATCAGTGAACAAAATGTGAACCACCTTAAGTTAGCTTGAAACCTAACCAGCAGATTTTAACCTCCCAGTTAGCAGAGCAAGCTTTTCCTGTGCCCTTCTTTTCCTGTTTCAAATATTCTTCCCAAGCCAAATGTATTGTGGTTCACTTTAAACTATGCTCTTCATTCCTTTTATTTCAATTTGTTGACACTAGATATTAGGGAAAGTTCTAGAACCTGAAAGAAACTGTGCCCATTTTAATATTTAAAGCCACCATAATATCTTTGCTTATCATTCATAACTTTGAGTCTACCAACCCTAAGCCTAGTTTTGTGGTCAATAAAGTTCAATTGTGACCTCAGACTTATTTTGACATTATCTTACTGAATTTAAAAAGATTCTGAAACTGATGAAGGCAAACTGACTGAATTAGTTTTATATCAAAGTAAGAGTCTCTAGACTTGAAGTATCCTAGAAATCGTCTGTTCAGTATATTTTAAGAAATTGGCATACAACAATTTTTTTTTTTAACTTTTCTTCAGATGAAGCAACTCCACAGAGCTCGGCTTGCTTCTGGAAGTGCTTTTTCTCTTGGAATTTATCTTGTGTTATCTCATCAGGAGGCAGACACCACCCCCATCTGGTGGCCCAGCCATAAAACTCCATGTTACACTCTTCAAAGTGGTCTAATCTCCTAGTTTTTAGGCAAGTGTCTTAATCATAGAGAGAATCCAGTTCTCATGCGGCCAATGCTGTTTTTAGTGATCAGTGCCTTTAGAAATCTGGGCATTGTCTCCTCCCTTCCTGTAAATCACCACTTGTCCTGAAACAGAGACACTGCTTCGGCCAGTAGAATAGAAATTTGACTTTTAAAATATACTTTCTAAAGACCATTGTATATTACCACACAGCTTGCTTTCTCTGTCTCTCTCTCTCCATATGTATGTATGTATGTATGTATGTATGTATGTATGTATGTATACACACACACACACACACACACACACACACACACATATATATATATATATATATATATATATATATATATATATCTTTTTTATCAGGGGAAAGTGCAAATGCAGTCCCTTTCTAAAATTCTGTTTCACCAATCTGTGATTAAATATTGACCAAGGAACAAGAAGATCAAAAGCCTTATTAGATACCCAGAACTATTAATCCTTTTGTTTCTCAAAATATACAAAACTAATTCCTTTTCCTTTATTGCATAAATATTTTTTATTTTTATGTTGATTGTTTCTGCTGTTCTTCCTTAAGAACCAATGCTACTGTTTATTAAAATACATTGTGTGGGGTCACCATAGACAGGTTTTTGCTAATGCTTTTGGAATACTTGGGAAAGCTCAAAATATAAAATCTTAATCTCATTTGTTATTTAACTCAGTCCTTAATGGATTTTTCCATCATCCACCTTTCCATTCTGTAGTTTTTTTTTTAAAAAAAGAAATGATACTGCATGCACTCCTACCTGTGTACCTGAAACACCACAATCTCTTTAAAAAGCTAACTGGTATTGGAAGCACAGGGCGTGTGGCACGGTGGTAGAGGACTTACTGGGAGGACTCAGTCCAGCCCTGACTACATATCGCCACCTATGATGACTGATTTCTATATATTTCCATGTTGATATTTATGGGAAAACATTAACTCCATTTTCTGCTTACTTCCCTGGTTATTTCCTCTCTTCACCTTGCAGTATTTTCAGGGATACAGGGTATGTATCCAGTGTGATTAGCTCGTTCTCTCATGGCCCTGCAGCCTACCCCAGAATCATGCTTCTACCATTGTTCATTTATTCTAAGAGTCCTGTAGGTTAAAAACTTGGGCCTTTTCACTTTAGGTCACTGATTCTTTGGATGTGCCTGAAGCCTCTCTGTGCCTCATTGCCACCCCCCCACACACACACACTTTGGCAATAAAAGACAACAAGAAGTGCCTTATGTGACAGCAGTGACTTTTAGGATAATAATGGACCTGTATAACCACACATGGATGTCCTTTCCTTTTCAGCGGCGAGCTGCTGATAACCTGAGACGACACCACCAATATCAAGTAAGTAATGTTTGTGTTCAGTATTGTGGGATTGCTGTTAAAATGGGTAGAAACTGAACCCCTGAACTGAATGTCAAACCTGTTGTTCAGGAGGTGATGAGGAACCTGGTGAAGCGATACGTGGCAGCCATGATCAGAGAGGCAAAAACGGAGGAAGGCCTGACTGAGGAGAATGTCAAGGTAACTGCTTCCCCTTCATCCCAGAAGGCAGCATGTGGAGGCAGCCCTTGAAACCTGAGTTCCAATCCCAGCTTACATATTCTAGCAGACATCCCTGCCATGCCTCCTGTGTTTTAAATTAAACACCCATGGAATTTAGGGACAGAGTAGACAGACAAAAAGACAATAGCAAATCAGAGAAATTTCCCAGATTGCTTTGAAACATTCTTAACCCAAATTGTCAAGGGGACTTAATGGGAAGGGAAATCCTAGTCCTGCTAGCATTATGATCCATGACCCCAATCCTTACTCTACTAAGTGAGCCTTCCATTTGTATGTCAGCCAGATTTCTAAATTGGAAGCACTTAATAACCAACCAGCTAACAATAGCACATGCTTCCTGGGTCACTGCAGCTCTTGGGGGCAGGGATTTAATGTTTCATTTCATTACAACTTATGAGCTTAGTCTTTGTACTTGATTTTCTAGTTTTAAAGTTATGTGAGAGGTAATAAGTGAATATAGGAAAATGATGTTTCCAATTAAATGTACAATAATTCTTTTATTCTACATGACTGTTTAGAAATTTCAGAGGAGTGCTTTAAGATTAACAAGATTTGACATGCAAAACCAAATGCATAAAAGCATTAAAGACTTTTATAGCAGCAGCAGCAGCTAAACAATCTGTAGGTCAGCAAGTCAGGGGGCTGCCAAACATAAAGCATAGATTGCCAATTAACTAAACTCCAAAATATTTTACTGTAAATTTCAATTATGATGCTAAATGATTCTTTGTGCCCTAGAAGAGAGTGAGAGGCAGAGGGAGGAAGAAGTTTCCTTAAGAGATTTAAGAAAAAAAAAAAAAAGAATCTAGGAGTCTGGTGTGAATCAATTGGTGTAAGGCCCTCTCCAAAGTCCTGAGACTTGGGCATTTCTCAGAAGTCTGGAACCAACATTGGTTTTGGTTTGTTTGTTTGTTTGTTTGTTTGTTTTTGGACACCCCCTTTGCATAGAAAAATCTGTTAAGACACATGAACCCAAAAGCACAAAGTGGCTTGGTATTAAATGCACCATAGAGAGGAAATACTTGAAAACCTCATCTCAAAGAAAACAAACCCCCACTGTACAGTAGCAGAGAGTACAATTCCCTCTATTTCTCTTTATGTCACCCTTAGATTTCTTTATGTGTCTCAGCCACTTTTCTCATCATCACAACAAGACACTAAAGAGAGGCAACTTAAAAGAGAATGTTTATTTGGCTTATAGTTTTAGAAGTGTTAATCCATCATGGCAGGAAGGGCCAGGTGTAGCAGTTCACATCATGGCTGCCAGGAGTACACAGGAGCCAGAGGCACCATAGTCCCCTGGGCATGCTCACTCTGATATCCTTTTAGCCAGGAGGTGTCACCTAGCCCTAAATGCCATGGTATTGTGAATCTATCATGAATTTAATCAATTAAGTGGGGCTTGTGTCTTTATCCAGCATCACAATACACACAGAAGCATGCTTTAGGGATCTCTCTGCTCAGCCGTGTTAGTGTGAAGACTAACCATCATTCTAGGACACAAAAAGTCAACAGGGAAATCACATCAAAATGACACAGGTGTCAGAGAAAGAGCCTCACATTCTAAGCAGAGTCCAGGGGAACAGAGCCCTGGTTTTTGAAAAGGTGCAGGACCATTACAGACTAATCTATGAAATTAGGACGTGATGTTTTCGTAAGTGATCCCCTGATGTGTCCGTTTGAATTTCACACAGGAACTAAAGCAAGACATTTCTAGCTTCCGCTTTGAAGTTCTGGGATTGCTCCGAGGAAGCAAGCTCTCGACAATACAGTCAGCCAACGCGGCGAGTCCGGCAGAATCCGACGAAAAGAGCCATAGTGAAGGTAATAGCAAGGACAAGAAAAAGAATCTCAGCCTCTTTGATTTAACCACTCTGATCCACCCGAGGTCAGCAGCCATTGCCTCCGAGAGACATAACATAAGCAATGGTTCCGCCCTGGTGGTGCGGGAGCCGCCCAGGGAGAAGCAGAGAAAAGTGAATTTTGTGGCTGATATCAAAAACTTCGGGTTGTTTCATAGACGGTCAAAACAAAATGCTGCTGAGCAAAACGCAAACCAAATCTTCTCTGTTTCAGAAGAAATTACTCGTCAACAGGCGGCAGGACCACTTGAGAGAAATACCCAACTGGAATCCCAAGGATTAGCTTCACGGGGTGACCTCAGCATTCCTGGTCTCAATGAACAGTGTGTACTAGTAGACCATAGAGAAAGGAATACGGACACTTTGGGTTTACAGGTAGGCAAGAGAGTGTGCTCCTTCAAGTCAGAGAAGGTGGTGGTGGAAGACACTGTCCCTATCATACCAAAGGAGAAGCATGCCCAGGAGGAGGACTCAAGCATAGACTATGATTTAAGCCCCACGGACACAACGGCCCATGAAGATTATGTGACCACAAGATTGTGACCATGGAGGAGGAATGTTTACCATACCTATACATATTTTCCATAATGCTCTGGGTGGGGAAAATGTTTGAGATTACATTATCAAATGCTAATTTACACTTTCTAGTGTTCATCCATTGTGGCATATTAACCTGTAACATGTTTTTGAACAAAGCAGAGGCAACATGAACCCTCCTCTTTTATAGCCTGCTTTTGCTTTCACAGTTTATTTTACAAATGTTTCTGTTAAATAAAAGCACCTTGTATCATTGTACTGTTACAATAATCCACAGAAAATTTCTAGCTATCTTTTTCAATTAAAACCAATGCAATTGATTACATGTGGTAAGTGACTCCTACAATAGATATTTTTATATGCAAAACAGTGTATATTAAAACATTAAACACTAAAGGTTTTCATAACTTGGGGGAAATTGCAAGAGATGATTATTCACTGAAGAGTTCCATGCAGCCCTACAGTTTGTCTCTAATAAGCAACTGTTACCAAATCACTTCTTATGATCATGTAAATAATTATCAGACATAATTAAAATAAGCTACCATCAACTCATGGGATCTACATTCCAGTCCTTTATTACAAAGAAAGTCTGATGCAATTCTCAAATCTTCTAGGCTATGCTTCCAATAGGGGGAAAAAATAGGTTTGTCTTGGTAGTTGATGATTTGTGTTGACATTTTATCGTCAAATTCATACCTTTAACTTAAGAAAAAACAACTGTGAGCTTCAGTTCCAACTGTTTATCAAAATAAATATGGTCCTTTGTCCACAGTTTGGAAATCCAGGTCTTTGCAAGACTCATAGTAATAAAATACCAACAAACAATGATTGCTTAAGTGCTTAAACCAGGTAATGTGCACATCCAGGTAAACTCACACTAGAACCCAAACAACAAGAAAAGTTACTTTCTGATGCTCTGAGCACTCAATGTTGTTGTCAGCAGAGGAATACATGTCTGACAGTTCCTGCTTCCCCGAATGATGGGTATATATTTCTTTAAAAAGAAAATGGCTCACAAACTCTATCAGTAGAATCAATAAAATATATAGTTTCCCTTATGGGAAGTTTTCAATTCCTGTTTCTTTTGTCATTTATAAGATAATTTTCTTTAGATTGTATTCATTTCCCAGACTTTCGAAAGAAAAATATTTCACACATATTCTAAAAATGGAAATGGCAATTTCTTAAAGTTTAATTACTCGTGTCTCTTTTAAGCCATCACAGGAAGTTTCCTTACCACATGCAATTAGCTCTTATTTCAAATCAGTAAAAATTGTTGAGTCTATTTTACTTTAGAATTTGTCTCTGTGGACTGAAGAAATTAGGATAATTGCACTGATAAAAATTGTGTAATAAGATCAAAAGTAAGAAATTGCAGCCATAATGGTGTCAGCCACTCTTCTATGTGTGCAATACAGATGGGGATACTTAAATAGCTGCTGGTTTATCTCATGTACAGGTCAGGAAATCAAGTCAATCTATAACCTAAAGTAACCTGTTTGTGATGGAGTTTTTCCCTAACCCTAGGGGCCATTTCCATTACGACAGCTCCCCAACCATAAGTACCAGGAAAGCAATGTCTGCATAGAGGGGTTTCAATTCCGAAGCCTTGGTTTTTGTTGTTATTTTTCTTTCTTTGCCTCTTTGTTTGACAGTAAGTTAGGCAAAACTCTACAAATGTGTGTCCCTTCCTTTAAGACAAGAATCATGCACAAAATTAAAATCTTTAGAACAAATCACATGGCAGGCATTAGAAGACTTTAAGCAGTGTGCAGTGCGGGCTCAGAAAGCAGTGTGCAGTGTGGGATCTCAGTAAGCAGTGTGCAGTGTGAATCTCAGTAAACAGTGTGCAGTGTGAATCTCAGTAAACAGTATGAAGTGTGAATCTCAGTAAACAGAATGCTGTGTGAATCTCAGTAAACAGTGTGCAGTGTGGATCTCAGTAAGCAGTGTGCAGTGTAGGGCTCAGTAAGAAGTCTGTAGACTCTGGTCTCAGTAAGAAGTGTGCAGTATGGGTCCCAGTAAGCAGTGTACAGTATGGAATGTAGTGTGGGGTCTCAGTAAACAGTGTGCAGTGTGGGTCTCAATAAGCAGTGTTCAGACTGGGGTCTCAGTAACCAGTGTGCAGTGTTGGTCGCAGTAAGCAGTATACAGTATGGAATGCAGTGTGGGGTCTCAGTAAACAGTGTGCAGTGTGGTCTCAGAAAACTGTGCAGTGTGGGGTGTCAATAAGCAGTGTGCAGACTGGGGTCTCAGTAACCACTGTGCAGTGTGGGTCCCAGTAAGCAGTGTACAGTATGGGGTGCAGTGTGCACTGTGGGGTCTCAGTAAGCAGTGTGCAGTATGGGGTCACAGTAAGCAGTGTGCAGTGTGGGGTCATGGCTATGGACTTCAAGTATTAGAAAAGCCAAAACACTGAGTATCTACCCCCAAATCTGCTTTATCTGAGGATTTAAGAGCAGACTGGCGGAGGGGGGGCATTTGGAGACCCACTAACCCAGTGAATGTGGGTCTTGTTAGAAGTACACATTTATCTCCAGTGTATTAGCACACAGTGTAAACTATAGTTCTGCAAAAATATCCAAATTACTCAGTAATAGGAGACCAGTGGGCTTATTTGCAATGTTGTCGTTTTGAAAATAATGACCCTGTACATGTCTTAGCAGAATTGAATTTCGAGTCCTCGCTGCCCTTCAAACAACACCAAAGGTAATAAAACCAACATTTTTTTTTTTTTTTTTTGGTTCAGTAGCTTTCCGTATTGGGAAGTAGAAGTGCTAGCATTTTCCTGGAAACCTGACAAGTATTTATGTGTGTCAGGGACCATTTGCTTCTCAGTGTCCTGGAAATGGTTGTGTTCACAGCTTTGGGAGGTCACCGATAGGTGCCTTTATGAGCAGGAATGAAGTATTGGCATTAGTGTCAAATGTCCTGTAAAATGTTTTATGCCCTGATTATTGTGCAGCATTAATGAAGAGGAGCAGACTGGAAAGAGTGAGAATGGGGAATAACAGTGGGTTTTCAGACAAAGGCTCTGGAGGCCTTTAAGTAAGCAACTTGGTTTGTCATCATTACTCTCATTCCTATACACAGAAGTTCCCGATACCTAAGCAAAGTTTAAATCACCTTCCATTTGTGATAATGACATTATTTTGCTTTTATTCCCTCTTGATCTTAAAAGAAAATGGACTTCTTGGGGATGGAGGAGCCTAGATTAATAGAAATTAATATTGTATACAAAGTCCATCTGAGAATTGATTTGAGACTAAATAACAAGATTCCCTTCTCATTTTTAAGCAAGTGTGGTATAAGAGGACTCTCTGTGTGTCAGTAGTAAATTCCTGACATTCTCTGTATAAATAAGTTTGTATTCGCTTTAACAAGAAAATGGGCTTCTAAAAATGGTGGTCATTTCTTTTTCGTACAATGATGAATTATTTTTCAAAGTGTTTATCATACTGAAAAAAATGTATGTTTTATGAGTTGCCTATGTGTATATCAAATTTTCTTAAATTATATTTTATTTACTAGCTGGTGATTAAAACAGTGCAAAAAAAAAGTCATCTCTTGCCATGGCATGAATAGCAACCTGACACACCTCAGCAATCAAGTCCATGATTGCAAATCATAATATTCTGTGAATAGCATATTTCTAGGGTAGCAAGACACCATTCTCAGAAAGCACTGTTTGTTTTCTAGCAAATGTAGAGATAATCTAGGCAATAATGGCATGAAATACATTCTCCTATGTATACTTACTAGTCCTTGATAGACTTGGAATTCAGCTGAGAGAATAGCTGTCCATGGTCAGTCCCGTGACCCCTCGCCAAGCACTTCTGTTCCTAGACACAGTGCCCTATGTTAGCAACAGAATGGATGGCTGCCTCCTACCCACAGCATCTTTCAAAACCAGCCCAACAAAAACCACTCGAACATCTCTGTGAATACATTGACAATGGCCCAAATTTCCAAAGGACCACCTGTCTGAATTTAGAGCATCATTCTGAACATCAGTTCTTATTTTTTTTATAGGTTTTATGTTCAGGTCTACCAGTAAATTCAAAATTGTAACGTAGTTCTCTGAAATTTTCTTAGATACCACAAGGTCTAGTGGTTTTTACAGTCTTATGTTGTGCTTTGCTCAGACAGTTTGTCATGCGTTATTTATTTGAATTTTGCATTTAAATATTTAAACCGTATTTAATAAGTTCTCCATAGAAAACTGAAGAAATGAAGGCTTGTGAGATTTATGCAAACTCTCTAAACTTATCTTGATGCTCAGTGCCTGAGTTGAGTTGAAGTATAAATCAAAATTTAAACAGCAGCAAAGCTTCTGACTCCCTACCATGTGTTTGGAGGGAGACATCAGATTCTCTGCTTTTGGCAGCTGGAATTTCCTTCGGAAAAATGCTGCTGCTTATTCCATATCCTTAAGCAGAAGGAAGACACCTACAATTGTCCAACCTTCCCACAGTGAGAGGCAAAATGAAGGAGGCTTATTTTGCTTTCACACAAAACTGTGTTCACAGATTTAAAAAGCCCCCTTCTTAATGTTTTCTAAAAACACTTAGCTTGTTTCGCTTTATGTAGATTTTTGTGATAAGTCTAGATGCACACTGGTGTTGATGAAATGTACCCATTATGACCTCTCTGCTGGACAAAACACAGGGCTGGGTATGAAAAGCTGAGCCAAGATGAGGTAATGAGAGCAGGGCGAGATGCAGCCGTGCAACTCTGACCTGACCAGCCCTGAAGGTGTCTGAGTGAAACTAGCTTAAAACCTTCCATCCCATAGGGCTGCACATAGGAATAAAGCAGTCTGCATAGGACTTCAAGAACTTCAGATGAGCTGACCTTGCTGTGACTCGGGATAGGTGGTAAGTGTTAAAACACTCCCCTGTCAGAGATATCCAGTGTGATAATAGTGTAAATTAGCATTGGTGATAGCTTAACATACTTTGCTCGGTGTGACTTAACTGAATTTTATGTTGCATTTTTACTTTTCAGTGTGGCTGTTGTTAGAGAGTTGAAAACACATATATGGCAAGTATTTGGAGCAATGTGTTTGCTTTTGTTCACCGGACTCACTTCAGTGCCATCACCTGCATTACAAAGGTGAAGTTTATATAATTGAATGGCCCCAAAAGAAAGCAGGTCAATTGAAATATGTAGCTTC